TTCAACACTTTAAAGAGGTTTCCCCCCCCTTTTTTCTTAAAACAGCAACAACTTTGTGAATTAGGTAAAGGTGTATTGCCTTTTGAAATGTCAGCCAGCCAGCGCTAGCTGAGAAAGGTTTAACCTTTTCCTGACCATGGGCCATGTGACTGTGAATTTTTTGGCGTTTAGCCTCGCAACAATGCTGCTGTGCTGTTTTGCTTTTTAAATTGGCTGTCATCTCAATTCACAGGCATGACTTCAGCGCTTCCCACAGCTTCATCATGCACTGCAGATGTCGCTTTAGCCCTTTCTGGAGCAGCCTCACAGATGGGCAACATTTCTTTTCCTTTTTGATAGACTGGATTGCTGACTGATTAACAGTAAGCTCACACCCAACAGTATTATAACTCATGTTCCAATAAAGCTTATCCAACATGTCATCTCTAGGCACATCACAGCTTTCTTGTGCTTAAAACACTAGACAGCTCTTAAGCACCACTAAGAGGGGTCATCTTAAACACAAAACCACCAACAGAACACAAAAGTACACAAAGAAAAATAGCATTAGATAGACCACAATAAAGATATTTATAGCACGAGAGCTTAATCAAATAGGCAGTTGGGCAACTCAGAATTTCAACACTGCACTTGCCTGTGGATGACCATGTAAGTGCTATTTGATTTTGGGACTCACAAATACATTTTAGTGAGAAGTCCGGAAATATGGAATGTGCAAATAATGCGGGTTGGTTATATTTCTTGGTACTATCTAGGCAAAGAAGATTCATCAATGAACAAAATACACACGGTCCCTTCTCTCATGGTGTATATATTTAAAATGAGTGATGTGGTAAGTAAGGCCATAAACAATGAACAAGATAATTAGGACTGTGAACTGACTTATTGGCTTATTGGGGACACGGGTGGATGATGGGGCGAGGTGGGTCATGGGGAGGTTGGAGGGGAATGAGCAAATAATCCAGGAGTGGGGAGAATGTTATAGAACTGATTGTGGTGATGATTACACAACTTTTAAAAAATTCGACAGAACTATGGAAGTGCATGACATACATCTCAGTAAAACTATTGAGAAAAAATAATTATTTTTTAAACCTAGGGGGTAGGGTAAGACTGTGATAGGTGTGGTGAAGAAAACAGGATTTGTGGTATGACTGATGGTGGTGGGATCCACCAGCCAAGTCAGGGTAGCCTTTCTGATATAAACAAAATTGTACGGGAAGAAAAGGCCCCAGCCATACAAGAAAGATCAACCTCCTGTGATAACTGATTTTTGTGTGTGTGTGATAACTGATTTTAACACACTAAATTTATACATTTAAATAAACACGGCTCCTCTCAAGTAGTCATCAAGTTATGGACTGAGTTTTGTAAGCTGCCAAAAATAACAAGAGTCAAGTTTGAGGAAGACAGGCATCCCAACAGAAGGTCTAAGTTTCTAAATGGCATGATACTATCAGGAGTCTGAAGATTAAATAAGATAATGCATAAACACTTAAACCACATCCTACCCAAGGAGACCATTGAAATGAACAAATTGTATCTAAGCAGCAGAGTAGCAACCCAAACACAGTGCTGACCAGTCAATTCCAGCTCATAGCGAGCCTGGAGGACAGAGTTAAATGATTCCATAGGACTTTCAAGACTGTAAACTTTGACAGAAGTTGACTGCTGCATCTTTCTCCCACAGTGGCTGGTGGATTTCAACCACTAACTTTTGGGCTAGCAGTCCAGTATGAACCACAGTGCCCCCAGGGTTGCTGCCCCAGGTAGTTGTTGTTATGAAATACATGAGCCTAGTTTTTCTTAGAAAGCTGGACAGTGAATACTAAAGACTGGAGAATTGATGGATTTGAATGACGGTGTTGGCAAAGACTAGTGAATATACCATGGACTGCCAGAACCACCAACATCTCTTTGGGGAGTACAGCCAATGTTCTTTAGAAGCAAGGCTGGCGAGACTACTGTGGGCATGGCAGCTGGGGAGACCAGTCGCTAGAGGACAACATGCTTGCCTGAAGCAGAGCATCAGCAACAAAAAGGAAACGCTGCAAAGACATAGACTGCAACAATGGACTCTAACCGAAGGATGTCGGGATGCAGCACGACTGGGCGGTGTTTTGTTCCGCTGTACACAGGGTTGCTAAGCATCAGAAAGCACCTACAGCAATTTTTCTTTGTGGCTTCCAAGTGGCTTTAAAGGTAGTCAAAATAAAACAAAACAACAACAAATTCCCGAGATCTTGTAGGCTTATTAAACAAAACATAAATCTCTAACGGAAAGGCTTAAAGTCATATTTGAAAACTCTCCTTGCCAACGTCAGCTACGAGCTGGCAGTCCGACCAGCTACTACTTAAAACCGAAATACTAAACGAATGGCCAAGGAGTCGGTGCTGACTCAGGCGGAGGTTTCGAAAAGTTCGTGGAAACATCGTGTTAAAAGAGAACGGAATTTCCCCACAAATTTAGAGACCTCACTTCGTAGGGACCCTACAGAACCCAGCACCGCCCGGAGGGTTTCCACGGCGGTTAGTCTTGATGCAGAC